GTTGTAGTTCTATAATCCGTGTGAGTTCACCTGGAGTTGTAGTTCTAGAATCAGTGTGAGTTCACCTGGGAGTTGTAGTTCTTCTGCTGCTTCACGGTGGTTCCTCGCTGTGATTGTTCGGTCACAGAGTCGGACGTCCTGCCAGCTTTAACATGAGCTGATATAAATAACAAACATGAAACATGTTTTGGTCATTTTTTATATAAATATTGTGGATTTATCTTTTCGCCACATAAGGAAACTAATGTATTTAGTTAATCCAAAAACTATCTTCTCCATGAAAATAAGAAAAGAGAAAGATCATATTTAATGTAAATGTAGAATATGTTCCTGTTAAAGGTGTCAACGGTCAGAATGAAAACACGACGGTCTCTTTTCTTCTTCTGTGGTTTCTGTCCTCGCGCAATCTCTCCGTGTTCTTGTCTGTTTTTATTTTCCTCTTGTGACCTCACCTGAGCCTCGGAGGTGGTGCAGGTTTTGTCTGTAGATTCCTCACATTTCTACATGTCTTTATTATTTCTCTTCATATATTACATGAACTCTAGCCATGTGTTCTCCTTAAAGTGTTCTTGTGAGCATGCTCGGTGTGTCTCACCCTCCTGTCTGTCTACCTGTCAGGTGATGGACATGGACGGGACAGGACGACGAGTGCTGGTGGAGGACAAACTCCCTCACATCTTCGGCTTCACTCTGCTGGGAGACTTCATCTACTGGACAGACTGGCAGCGCCGCAGCATCGAACGGGTCCACAAACGCACCGCGGAGAGAGAGGTTATCATCGACCAGCTGCCAGACCTCATGGGCCTCAAGGCCACTTATGTGCACCAGTTCTACGGTGAGACCAGGACCCAGAAGACCAGCATGGGACTGGAAGGACCCATGGTGGTCCTTCCAGTAGATGTTGCTCCAGTTAAAACTTCAGACCGGGACAAGAAACGGCTATTTTAGCTTAGCATGAAGACTGGAAACGGCCATCTTAGCTTAGCATAAAGAATGGAAACAACTTCCTTAGCTTAGCACAAAGACTGGAAACAGCTATCTTATCTTAGCATAAAGACTGGAAACAGCTATCTTAGCTTAGCATAAAGAATGGAAACAACTTCCTTAGCTTAGCACAAAGAATGGAAACAACTTCCTTAGCTTAGCACAAAGACTGGAAACAGCTATCTTAGCTTAGCATAAAGAATGGAAACAACTTCCTTAGCTTAGCACAAAGACTGGAAACAGCTATCTTAGCTTAGCATAAAGATTGGATTCAGAGGTTAACAGTTAGCTTAGCTTAACCTGGGTCCTACCAGCTCCTCTAAAGCTCCCTGATTGATCCATCTGATCGGTTCTTTCTGGTTTTGATAATCTAAAATAAACTGAAAGTGACTCAATTAATCCTCAACACTAACTAAATATTATCATCCAGAAAAAATATCCTGCATCATGTAGTCAGAAATCGGCCACAAACACCTAGAAAGAACAATTTATATTTATTATAGAAAATAAATCAAACTCCTCCAGACAGTCTTCAACTTCAACCACTGACCAGAACCCTGTGGCTCACTTGTGACCCAGCTGTGACCCAGCTGTGACTCACTTGTGACCCAGCTGTGACCCAGCTGTGACTCAGCTGTGACCCAGCTGTGACTCACTTGTGACTTACCTGTGGCCCCGCCCCCCTCAGGTACCAACCCATGTGCAGAGAGTAACGGTGGCTGCAGCCACCTGTGCCTCTACAAGCCTCAGGGCGTTCAGTGCGGATGTCCCATCGGTCTGGAGCTCATCTCTGACATGAGGACCTGCATCGTGCCCGAAGCCTTCCTGCTCTTCTCCCGTCACACCGATATCCGACGCATCTCACTGGAAACCAACAACAACAACGTGGCCATACCGCTCACTGGAGTCAAGGAGGCCTCGGCTCTCGACTTCGACGTCACCGACAACCGGATCTACTGGACCGACATCACTCTGAAGGTGAGAAGAGACTCTCCTCCTCCGTATCTTTTAATGAGTATGTGTATATATTAGTGCTGGGTAACCATTACAATTTTTAATCGTGATTAATCGCATGATGTTTTTGCAATTAATCGCATTGTTATGCGCAAAATTCAATAATGAATTCAAAAGTAGTGTATTGTGCACTTCTATTTTAAAAGTACTGCTATATGAACAAAAGTGCAATAACCGTAATATGTGTGGTATTGTTATAAATGTACGTTGGTAGATAGAGGGTGATAAGAAGCTGTACATGGAGGAACTTAGGACCCAGGGGAATGTAGGTGAAGGAAACGGGAAGAGACGGAAGTGACGCCACACAAACAGCTGTTCACCGCTCGCTTCTGGCCGGCCGGTTCTTGTGTTAAAAATGTCCGCTTAATAATAATAAAAAAACTGCGTTAACACGCGATAAAATAATTGTCAGTGTTAATTAATTAATGCGTTAACTTGCCCAGCACTAATATATACGTATATGGTTCAGTCAGATTCTCAGTATGGAACCTGAACACCTGTACGTGGTCTAACGTGGTCTTGCCTCGTCCCCCCTGCAGACCATCAGCCGGGCCTTCATGAATGGCAGCGCTCTGGAACACGTGGTGGAGTTCGGTCTGGACTACCCGGAGGGGATGGCGGTGGACTGGCTGGGGAAGAACCTGTACTGGGCCGACACCGGTACCAACCGCATCGAGGTGGCCAAGCTGGACGGGCAGCACCGACAGGTCCTGGTCTGGAAGGACCTGGACAGTCCACGAGCTCTGGCTCTGGATCCAGCTGAAGGGTGAGAACTAAAACCAGGAGGAGACCAATCAGTACGACTGTAGACCAGTATGAAGACCATCGTAGGAACAAAAAATATTTGTTTCTCCTATAGTTAATCTCCTTAAATCTCAGAGAATATTTAAGTTTTTCCCCGTAACGTCATACATATTATCCTGTTAATTTATACATATTATCCTGTTAATTCATACATATTATCCTGTTAATTCATACATATTATCCTGTTCATTTA